TAGCTCACGCGCTATATTGATAAGAAGAAATTTCTATATAAATTTATGTGTGTTTCTATTTTGTTTAAGCAAATAAGTAACCCATTATTTGACATGGGGGCTCGTGAATAAGATTATTTAGCGAGCTGCGGTTGCGCGTTTCAGTACTTTTCTGATTAACTACACCTATATTTAGAAGTATGCAGCTGACTTCGTTTCTGAGCCAAGTAGTCAACAAGTCAATGGACTGAAGGCGTGGGTAATTGACTAGAAAATACTTTCACATACATTTTTAAGCTGAAGAGGAGTATTCAATCTTTGGCAAGATATAGAGTGTAGGATAACTAACAATAGAGGCTGGGTTAAAATTATAATCATTTACCTATAGAACATACAGTTTATCCCAATTTCCCAACTTTATTTTATTTATACAAACATATTACAAATATTGGTGCAATTATGATATTTTTAAGAAATATCGATGGTCTTATTAATCTGATATATGATTTTAGAATTCAAAGGTCAAGGACCCTGCTATTTTTGTGAACACAGCTGTATACTATCGAAGGTTTAAGGTTCAAGTACTTTATCGGTGTTTTTGACATATCGTAGAAAGCACTTTCCGATTTGCCACGCCCTCAGTGGAGGAGTAATGTACCCAATAAAGGCTCGAGGCTTATCTTTTGAAACCGTGAAACGTAAAACGTATTTAATAAAAAGACACATAGATCATTTTTAAAATCAATAAATTAATACTTAAGATTTTTAATCAAAAAAGGATAAAATATAAATAAATAATTAATAAATAAATAAAATATATTAAGGAACATGAATAAAGAGAGTAGCCAAAGCTCATAGAATCTCAATAGTTATATGTATAATTGATTTGGTATAGGTAAATGCATAACTGTCCAGATCCAGTCTACTCAAGACAATGTAGAACTCAAATATGTAGACATAAATTGGTTCAAAATATGACTACAACTCCAAATTGTATAAAGATTTTCAGATTATTCTAGTCGACCTAGTCAACCTAGTTTTGTAATATGTAAATACAAATTTCTTTATTCAGAATCTACTTATCCAACTCTTGACCTGAACAACATCTAACATGAATATAAATTAACTACAAATATAGTATAGTCAGGCTTCTCTTCTGGTATGCATATATTACATATAACTCACTTTCAATTCTCTTTCAAAGTTCACACCTTAACGTGGCTGGCTTGATCTTGATGTTTTCTTTGCTCGATTTAACCCACTTATATTCATAGACACTCACACACATACACATACAGCGACACCCACAACACAATAGTTCACCCAAATATCTGTGCCTGGCGCATTTCCCACACCCACAGCCAACTGGAACTATGTAAGCCAATCCAATGGCCATCTGCTGAGCTTAACCCAATAAATAGCTGACATAGCTGGCTGGCTTGGCTGGCTTGGTTAGCCAGGATCCAACACATCGCAATGGCCGAGTGAGTCATAAATTGTGAAATGCAATGCACATTATCGTCAGAGCGAGATACCAAAAAGTCAAAGAGTTCCAGCTCCAGACTGGGGCCAGAAGCAGCTGAGCCCCCGAGCTGAGCTGAGCGTGGTGGACACTTTCCGGCAAACAGTTGGCATCTAGTCTATAGCCAGTGGTAGTAGTAGTTGTTGTTGTTGCTGTTGCTGTTGCTGTTGCTGCTGTTGCAGTTGCTGTTGTTGCTGTTTGTGTTATTTATGAGTTTTGTGATGTTTCTGCAAATTTTTCTATGTAAGAGACTCGCGACTCCTTTGTTTTTGTTTTGTTGTTGTTGTTTTTTATTTTCGTTGCAACGACGCTGAGGTTAGTTGAACTTGCGCCTGCCGGTCTGGCTTATCGCACGTCAATTGCGCAGACAACTTCATTGTAAGGCGCAAGAGAGATTCCTGCGCATTGATGTTGACAGCAGGAGTTCCAAGCACGCGTCCCATCCACACACACACACACACACACACGCAGAGACAGAAATAGAGAGAGAGAGAGAGAGAGACAGAGAGAGATAGAGAAACCACAGAAGGAAGTTGTGCTTGCGGTTCGAGCCTAGGCTGGCTCTGACTCTGTAGAAATCTAATTACATTTTGTGGCCGAACTTTCAATACTGTTTGAGCGATTTCCATCAGTCAATAAAAACTGCGCAAACTCCAAACTCGTGCGTCTTGTGGACACAGCAGGCACATGCTCCAACCGACTGCATCTGATATGCCCCCGGGCTGGCAACTGACGACGGCAACTGCAATTGAGAGGGAACTCTCACAACTTTATTTGCGCTGCATTTCGCGGAAATCGAAATCTGTGCGAAACTCGAAATATTTCGTTGGAAATTGGAATGCCAGTTCAATGCGAATAAAGTTTTTTTGTGTTGCCTGTTCAAGCGAATGGCTAAGAGTTTATAGAGTTTTTGTAATGGACTCGACATAATACTCAAGCATAAAAGCTGAAAGTATAGCCAACCTACGGAAAATGAGGTAGAACATGAAGTGAAAATATAAATATTTAATAGTCCACTAGATAAAAATATTTTGATTGTCAAATACTCTTTCTGAATAAGCCAATTGGTCAAACATATTGCTTAATAACTTCTGTAATACTTAATAAGGTTTTAATTTATTTTAATAAAGTTTTCAGTTATAATCAACACTCCAACACTCATTCTATAGCATATTTATGGTATATTTCCCATTATAAAAAATTCCATTTTTCTCATATATTGATTATATTTGCAATTGACCTTGAGTATAATAAATTTTGGGCTTTCAATATATAACAAAAATCATAATTGTATGAAATAGAAGAGCAACTATATGTAAAATTTCCAGACTCTGGCTGTAAGACATATGTGAGATATGTAATATTATTACATAGATATATAATTTCATAGCTGAATTACGATAATCGATAACAATACTTATCGATTTCTTGTAATCTGCTTCATCTGCGCTAGCTATTTGAAGTCTATCGCTTATATAGGTTGCAAGATCGACGGACGGAAGAAATAGACTCAGCTTGTCGCACTGATCAAAAATATATATACGTTATGGCATCTGCCACGCCTCTCTCTGGCTGTCACACAGATTATAACAAAAGTTATTACAACCTACTTTCGAAATTCAAATACTATAATTTTAAATTTAAAGAAATTATCACCGAACTTTGCCTTCTTTGTACGCCTCAAGCGAGCATCAGACAGTTGGTAACATTTGATGACCACGTTTCTGCTTTTCTTTTCTGCATTGTCAATTTTGCCATACCTCACGAGGCGTCTAACAAATTATGGAAACGTGCTGCTGGGCCGACAAACAGACAGAACCACAGACAGGCAGAGGCAGAGACAGACAGACATAGCATAGCTAGAGCATATGCTGTGCTGACAAGCGAAACAATTAAAACTAAAGTGGAAACGATCAAAAAGTGCTACCCCGGTACACAGAGATCTATTGCCGCAGATATATAGTGCAGTCCAACCGCAGTGGCTGGCAATTTGCATATATTAATATATTAACTGTAGATCTCCAACTGGCTGGGCCTACACCCTCACCAGGACATCACTCGCCCTGCGTGACTCATTTCGTGCTGGAATTCTTGTTGGTTGTTGCCGGCAATTGCCAATTGGCATTGGATGTTAGGCGTCATGTGTGCCGTATGCTAATGACTCCGACAGGACTCTTCCTCCCTTTCGCCCTCTCTCTCTCTCTCTCTGTGTTTTCCAAGTCCAATACGATATATATGGGGCGATGATGAGCTGGCTGTTCGCTTTTGACATTGTCATGCTGTCAAGCGTAACCAAACTCCGATAAGAGCAATAAAAATGAAAATAGGTTGCGAGCGGCACACAAAAGCAACAATAGCTTTCGTAACATCTGTGTGTAGAGCCTGAAATGGCAGAGTTTTTAGATGTGGCTTGAGGCACTTGGATGAGAGGCATGCACTGGGAGAAACTATGTATACATATAAATAGAATCAGTCTAGAGGAATTTAAGGAACAAAATCTGTTTGATGTTTACTCTAAGGAAAAGTCGATTGGCCTACAAAATTTTATGTTTTTTTCTAAACTGCATAAGCAAAGAAGAACACTGATGAGCCGAGCCGGTGGTCAAATAAGATCGCACTCTGTTTTACGACCACTATGTATATACCTAAATGAAATACAATTAAAAAATAACTAATAAAAGTGAGATATGAAACAAATATGTTCATTACAAAAAATATTTTCGACATTATTAAATATCCTTATGATAACGAATTATCAATATAATAAACCAATTATCAGCTTTTATATTATAAAATAAAGTAAATTA